GCTTCCGCGCGCGAAGTGGGCGTACCAGTTGTGAAAAATGGCAAGGAGCACAGAAAGCTGCACGCGAAAAGACCCATCTGGAGCACGATCTGGACCACAAAAAGTTGCACGCGAAAAGACCCATCTGGAGCACGATTTGGAGCACAAAAAGTTGCACGCGAAAAGAACCATCTGGAGCACGATTTGGAGCACAAAAAGTTGCACGCGAAAACACGCATCTGGAGCACGATTTGGACCACAAAAAGTTGCACGCGAAAAGACCCATCTGGAGCACGATCTGGACCACAAAAAGTTGCACGCGAAAAGACCCATCTGGAGCACGATTTGGAGCACAAAAAGTTGCACGCGAAAAGAACCATCTGGAGCACGATTTGGAGCACAAAAAGTTGCACGCGAAAACACGCATCTGGAGCACGATTTGGAGCACAAAAAGTTGCACGCGAAAAGACCCATCTGGAGCACGATCTGGACCACAAAAAGTTGCACGCGAAAAGACCCATCTGGAGCACGATTTGGAGCACAAAAAGTTTCACGCGAAAAGACCCATTTGGAGCACGATTTGGAGCACAAAAAGTTGCAAACACCCTATTATGCAAAATGATTTTGTGTTCTGTGCAATTTTTGGGATGCTTCAAAAAAAGTGGGCAACCTGTACAATCAGTTCTTCAATTTGTCAATTGTCAATTGTGTAGAATGGCCGCAATGAGCAAGATGGCCAGGCACTGTGAAAAAGACATTGCAAACAAATCACAAAGCACCCGAATAGCCTATTCCAAAATAAACCATTTCGGGGGTGATGTTTTTGCAGGGGGTCCCACAAACAAAACCCTTTTACTGACTGTTACAGATATTAGGCTAGAATCAAGATAGATAGATAGATAGACAGATAGACAGATAGACAGATAGACAGATAGGATAGAGAGGGTAGAGAGGATAGAGAGGATAGAGAGGATAGAGAGTATAGATATGATAGATAGGATAGATAGGATAGATAGGATAGATAGGATAGATAGGATAGACAGGATAGATAGGATAGACAGGATAGACAGGATAGATAGGATAGATAGGGTAGATAGGATAGATAGGATAGATAGGATAGATAGGAAAGGATAGGAAAGGATAGGATAGATAGGATAGATAGGATAGATAGGATAGATAGGATCGATAGGATAGCTAGGATAGCTAGGATAGCTAGGATAGCTAGGATAGACAGGATAGCTAGGATAGCTAGGAAAGCTAGGAAAGCTAGGATAGCTAGGATAGCTAGGAAAGCTAGGATAGCTAGGATAGCTAGGAAAGCTAGGATAGCTAGGATAGATAGGATAGATAGGATCGATAGGATCGATAGGATAGACAGGATAGATAGGATAGATAGGGTAGATAGGATAGATAGATAAGATAAGAAAAGATAAGATAAGATAAGATCAAGTAAGATAGAAAGATAGATAGATAGATAGGGTAGATAGATAGATAGAAAAAATAGATAGACAGATAGATAGATCGATAGATAGATAGGTAGATAGATAAATAGATAGATAGATGGATAGGATAGGAAAGGATAGGATAGGATAGGACAGGACAGGACAGGACAGAATAGGATAGGACAGGACAGGATAGGATAGGATAGGATAGACAGACAGATAGATAGATAGATAGCTAGCTAGGATAGCTAGGATAGCTAGGATAGCTAGGATAGCTCGGATAGACAGGATAGCTAGGATAGCTAGGATAGCTAGGAAAGCTAGGATAGCTAGGATAGCTAGGAAAGCTAGGATAGCTAGGATAGATAGGATAGATAGGATAGATAGGATAGTTAGGATAGATTAGATAGATTAGATAAACTAGACATATTAGACAGATTAGACAGACTAGACGGATTAGATAGATTAGATAGATTAGATAAGAAGATAGATTTGAAAAGAAGATAGAGATGAGAAGATAGAGATAAGAAGATATAGATAAGAAGATAGAGATAAGAAGATACAGATAAGATACAGATAAGATGAAAATAGAGATTAGATAGAGTTTAGATAGAGTTTAGATAGAGTTTAGATAGAGTTTGGATAGGGTTTAGATAGGGTTAAGATAGAGTTTAGGTAGAGTTTTAGATAGAATTTAGATAGAGTTTAGGTAGAGTTTAGATAGAGTTTAGATTAGATAGATATAAGAGAGATTAGATAGAGATTGGATAGAGATTAAACAGAGATTAGAGATTAGACAGAGATTAGATAGAGATTAGATAGAGATTAGAGAGAGATTAGACAGAGATTAGACAGAGATTAGATAGAGATTAGATAGAGGTCAGATAGAGGTTAGATACATTTTAGACATAGGGTAGACGGAGGTTAGACAGAGGTTAGACAGAGATTAGACAGAGGTTAGACAGAGGTTAGACAAAGGTTAGACAGAGGTTAGACAGAGCTTAGACAGAGATTAGACAGAGATTAGACAGAGATTCGACAGAGATTAGACAGAGATTAGCAAAGAGATTAGACAGAGATTAGACAATGATTAGACAGAGATTAGACAGAGATTAGAGAGATTAGACAGAGATTAGACAGAGATTAGACAGAGATTAGACAGAGATTAGACAGAGATTGGACAGAGATTAGACAGAGATTAGACAGAGATTAGACAGAGATTAGACAGAGAATAGACAGAGATTAGACAGAGATTAGACAGAGATTAGACAGAGATTAGACAGAGATTGGACAGAGATTAGACAGAGATTAGACAGAGATTAGACAGAGATTAGACAGAGAATAGACAGAGATTAGACAGAGAATAGACAGAGATTAAACACAGATTAGACAGAGATTAGAGACAGATTAGATAGAGATTAGATAGAGATTAGATAAGATAAGATTAGATTAGATTAAATCTAGACTAGATTAGATGAGATTAGATAGATAGATAGGATAGATAGGATGGATAGGATGGACAGGATAGATAGGATAGATAGGATAGATAGGATAGATAGGATAGATAGGATAGATAGGATAAGATAAGATAAGATAAGGTAAGATAAGATAAGATAGATAGATAGAAAGATAGATAGATAGATAGATAGATAGAAAGATAGATAGATAGATAGATAGATAGATAGACAGATAGATAGATCGATCGAGAGATAGATAGGTAGATAGATAAATAGATAGATAGACAGGTAGATAGATAGATAGACAGATGGGATAAGACAAGATAAGATAAGAAAAGGTAAGAAAAGATAAGATAGGTAGATAGATAGAGATAGAGATAGAGATAGAGATAGAGTTAGAGTTAGAGATAGAGCTAGAGCTAGAGCTAGAGCTATAGACATAAATATAGCTATTGATATAGATATCGATATAGATATTATAGCTAGATATAGATATAGATTTAGATATAGATAGATAGGAAAATATAGGTGGATAGATATGGATAGATAGGTAGATAGATAGGTAGATAGATAGGTAGATAGTTTGGTAGACCGATAGGTAGATAGATAGGTTGATAGATAGGTACCAGTAGATAGGTAGACTGTCGGTATGCCTCGCATCGCCTCCCTCGCCTCGCTCGGTGGCTCAGCTAGTAGATCCCAGATAGAATAGATACGAGACTAGCTCGATCCGATCGCTGGCCCGATCGATAGCTACGATCTACTAATAGATAGATAGATAGATAATGATAGATAGCTTGAAAATAATAAGATCGGATCTGATCAGATCAGATAAGATAAGAGAAAATAGCTAGATAGATAAACGCGTTTATCAGTAACTGATGTGCACTGTACATAGGGGAATATGCTTACTGTATTTGATGTTGATTTTTACGATGTTATCCTCACCAACTCAGAAAACACAAAAATTTACCATGAATCAATCTTTGATATCCCACAAACAAATATCATCTTTTGTTGGTTTGCTGGTTATTTCCATAAAAATAGCAAACCACTAAAAGGATTAGTGTCTACCCATCCTTCTGGTTGGGGATGTTTGTACTTGGTGGCTCATCCTAGTTAGTAAGTAAGTTAGTTCACCCTAGTCATACGTGAAGCCTACGTATCCCATTGAAAAACCAGGCTTTTGACCTGCTTCTGAGTGGGATGAAGCACGACTCGTGGAGGATTCCTAAAATAGCGGTACCCTCAGTTCTCATCCATTTATAGTTGGGATTTTCCATTATAAATCATCCAGCGATAGTGGGGTACCCCCACTATGGAAACCCCCAAGTAGGGAAATTTTCGCGACTTGAAAAACATGGGTTCGACTCTGGGTAGAGTTGTCAATGCTGGATATCTTCTTTCATGGCCATTTTAAGATGGGGAAATTGATGCTATTTTACATCTAAAATTCATGGCAATCCATGGGAATTGGGGACCGGGATATGTTTTAATTTTCAGTCAAACCCACATGGTGGTTCTGATTTTTGCGATGTTGCTTTACCAACTTTGGTATGCTCTACAGAGTTTCTCTTCAGTCTTATATGATTGCTTGACATTTTCCAATAAAGACTCCTAAGTGGGGTTGTCTCAAACTCGAGTACCCCAAATCCCATAATTCTACCAAACTCAAATGGTTATGTGTCAAAAGCCTGGTACTGTAGCCTTCTGCTCACGTCCAAATATCTGGTGTATAGCGGGATGCTCATCTCCCCAAATGTCCCATCCCAATATGCTGCTTGGTAAATAGGTATCCTATTAATTTATAAACGGTGATAATAGTACCTAATAAAGTTATATAACCCCCTGTCTTAACCCATCAGCTGTCATTTAGCAACAATATCCCATTTTGTTGGGTTAAAACCCACATTTGCTAGATTTTGCTAGTGAAATCCTCACATTTGGTCAACAATCAACTATCATTGATCATTGATCAATGATTTCTCTATAGGCTTGGTAGTCAAAAAACCATGAAAACCCTGCAACTCATGTTTAAATCCATCATGCTTTAAACTCACCGTGCGGCACATCTCTGCATATCTCCGCATGTTTTCCCGTGGATTCAGCTCGGCTCCCCCACTGCCAGGTCATTACCTTCACGGCGGCGTCGCGTTTGTTGTAGCGGCAAAAGTAGACTGAACCAAAAGCGCCTCACCAGGTCCCATCAAAAAGCATGCCCCAGGGCCCCAGCACACTCAACTTTCGCCACACTCTACTCTCTCCCCCCTCTCTACGCTCTCTGTACTGCACGCTCTACACTCTGTACACTCGATAAACACTCTCTGCACTTTCTACGCTCTTTACACTCTCGACACTCTCTGCACTCTCCACATGCGACACTTCACGCTTCACACTTAGCACTTTCAGTCCTCACTCAGCACTCCACAGTCTACACTCCACACTCCACACTCTAAACTCTACACTATACACTCACACTCACACTCTACCCTCAACACCCTACACTTTACATTCCATCATCCACATTCTACAATCAAACCTCCACAACTCACCATCTACACTCCACACTCTACATTGACAGCACACCTTACACACTCTACACTCTACACTTCACACTCAACACTCTACACTCCACACTCCTCCACACTGCTTGCTTTACTAGATTAATTCACGCCTGACTGTTGCGAAATGCTTCGCAAGCCACGCAAAATAACAGTGCACGCTTCAAAAACGACATGTTGTGCAGCATTCGCTATAGCACCCCACTTCGTAAATGGCTTATATCCCCAGTTACATATGGAATACAATATCCCCACATATCCCCAATTATATGAAAAAAAGGCTGGAGTCAGCAGGGACGCCTTGCCCCACGCACTGTAGGGTCTCAAGGCCATCGATCCAAGTACTGCTGCCCAAAACAGAGGCGCTCGCAGGAGAGACCGGATCGCTGCTGCGACTGCTGCGTGATCCTGGTGGTTCAGCCCAGGTGAGTTGTGTTACCCGGCCTGATTATTTGTTACATAGCCATGGTATAGATGGCCCATAGAAATAGATGGTTTACCGAACTTAATAGCATGGTGGATCTTTCCATGTCAGCCATAACCAGAGGGTAAACCAACATAAATAGCCCATTCTTTGTAGTCGAGCAGTGTTCATCCCAGCCTCTGTTGTTTCATATAATACTGGTTGGTAAATAATGGGGTCCCCCTAATTGATAATCCCGCCCAATTAATATTGGTTAGTAAATGGTTCGTGTAATCCCCTATAAGAATCAACCAACAAGGGTTTTGAACGCCGCTCAGATTTGCGATTTGGGAATATCATGGTGATGAATGGGGATGGAATCAACAACATTCAAGACAAACTATTTTATATGGATATAATTGAGATACAATGGGATATAATGGAGAGCTTTTTTGTTGCCGATGTTTCTAGCTTCTGAATTTGTTGCTTTTCTAATTTGCTCTATCTCATTCAGCTTTTCCTAGTGAGTCAGTTGTTTCCAAACTCTGATAGCAAATGATAGCAATGTTTGTTCTCAAGGTCAGTAGACAAGGTGGAAGATTGGCAGCTCAATATTTCTGCCAGGTGGTCATCTAATATGTCATGATCGGTGATGGAAAGAGACCACTCATCTGGATAGGGACCCTGGGATACTCTGGGAGCTTGGGGGGCTATCAAGTCAAATGGGATGATTGTTCCCAATGTATGGAAACATAAAAAATGTTCCAAACCACCAATCAGATCTCTGATGATGGACCAATGAGCTGCAGATTCTGGGGATGGCTTCATGGGACAGGCCAATGAGCTGCAGCCTAGTGGAGTGAGGTCGTGAAAAAACATAGTCACTCTTTGGTAGTCCACAAAAACTTCGAATATCTTTTGCTGGTTGGATATAGCGATTTTAATTTTCCATAGCCAAAAACTATCCAGGATTTGTTTCTACCTATCCTTCTGGTTGAGGATGATATTGTCTACAGAGTAACATGGAGGTTTCCTAAGACATGGAGGCACCCCAATAGCTGAAAGGTTTATGGTGGAAAATGCCAACACAAAACCTATGCAAACTAGGCAAAATCTTTGGCATGATCGCCTCAATCATAAGACAGCCATCTTGGCTCCAAATGGCGAAGGTTTAACATTGGTTCAACGTTAAGGTTTTGTAGTCTATTAGTTGTCAGTAGTCGTGCGAATAGCTTTACCAACAGCTTGGTGCACTAGTGATGCACTGATTGAAAAGGCGTGCATTTTTTTTGAGCCACAGCAAGAGGTTCAACGATTATACTATCAACATCTAAAGATGTTCTGCAAAATTCCCTATGTAAGCCATACCTAGGGATTGGATCTGTGCTATACATCAATCATGTCGGGATTTCCTCAGAATATCTCAGAATGATAATTGGGTCATAATTGATGCAGCGATCATGTCTGGATTCGCTACTATTTGAGAACGAACCCAAGGAAACCTAAGCAGGAGCATATAAGTGTGCCTCTAATTGGGGTATACCTCAACTTTAATGGGGAACATGAGATAAACCAATGGCTATCTTCCTTTTTTCAGACAACCTTCCTATTCCCACTTTTTTCCCCGAGGAATAACCCCAACCATTAAAAATCTCACCTGGGTTGTGTGGTACAAGCTGGCCCCCCAGTTTACAGGTTGGTTTATAAATTTCATGAACTAGTTCGATATACCATCAACATCCATAAACCATAGTATTCATAGTTAAGCTGTAGCTAATGAATGCTAATGACCTTTTTCCCCACCAATAGTACCACAACATATACCACAAGCCACAGCCCGGATCGCCGAGCTACCACTAAGATTTTGTGAGGTTGGTGGCGTCAATAGAGGTCCAGTCTCAGGAATCTTTTCCATCTGTTCGTTTGACATCGCCAAGATTTCGGACATCGCACCTCTAAATCTGACCAAAACAAGGCCACATTAAAAGAGTATAGACCCTGGTGAGGGACCGGCGAAATTTATCAGGCCAAAATGGATGTTTTACATAGCCATTTCATTGTGATACAACATGGGATACTGGGAGATTTCATTTGGATACTAAGCAAGTAATATCTGGGTTCGTCTTAAAATTGGGGGAGAGGTCATGTGTTTGCGATTTTCATCAGGAAATGTTTTAATAAACCATCAAATATATGGGGCACCCCATTCCCAACGCCCAATTGATAGAACTCATATATATGGAAGTTTCCGAAAAAAGGGGTACCCAAGCATCCAGCGAATCATCCCATTTCGGATCATGAAAAAATCACCATCCAGCTATAGGGGATCCGGGGTCCCATCGAAGGCTACATCGCTGGATCAGAAGTTGGATGGTATTTCTAGTGGATCCCATGAAAACTCATGATTTGGGATACCCCCATTCTTGAAGGCATTTTGATGTGTGAAATTTGCTGTGACATGGTCAAGTTACACGTTTAAATTACACCACCGTAGACCCCGAACAGTGGGTGGATTCAAGAAGTGTTTTGAGAAACAGGGTCAAACACATGAGACAGCATTAAGAACCCCTAAGAGTACAATGTTTGGGGAAACATGCGGAAGGGACAAGACCTCGGGAAGGTGGACACACCATCCAACAAAGGTAAACAAGAAGGGGTACAATGGGAGACAAAGCGAGAAAAGACCATCGGAAAGGCGGACACACCATCCAACAAAGGTAAACAAGAAGGGGTACAACGGGAGACAAAGCGAGACAAGACCCTCGGAAAGGCGGACACACCATCCAACAAGGGGAAACAAGAACGGGTACAATGGGAGACAAGGGGAGACAAGACCCTCGGAAAGGCGGACACACCATCCAACAAGGGAAAACAAGAACGGGTACAATGGGAGACAACGGGAGACAAGACCTTCGGAAAGGCGGACACACCATCCAACAAAGGGAAACAAGAAGGGGTACAGTGGGAGACAAGGGGAGACAAGACCCTCGGAAAAGCGGACACACCATCCAACAAAGGGAAACAAGAAGGGGTACAATGGGAGACAAGGGGAGACAAGACCCTCGGGAAGGCGGACACACCATCCAACAAAGGGAAAGAAGAAGGGGTACAATGGGAGACAAAGGGAGACAAGACCCTCGGAAAGGCGAACAAACAACAAAGGGAAACAAGAAGGGGTACAGTGGGAGACAAGAGGAGACAAGACCCTCGGAAAGGCGGACACACCATCCAACAAGGGGAAACAAGAACGGGCACAGTGGGAAACAAGGGGAGACAAGATCCTCGGAAAGGCGGACACACCATCCAACAAAGGGAAACAAGAAGGGGTACAGTGGGAGACAAGGGGAGACAAGATCCTCGGAAAGGCGGACACACCATCCAACAAAGGGAGACAAGAAGGGGTACAGTGGGAGACAAGGGGAGACAAGATCCTCGGAAAGGCGGACACACCATACAACAAAGGGAAACAAGAAGGGGTACAATGGGAGACAAGGGGAGACAAGACCCTCGGGAAGGCGGACACACCATCCAACACCGAGGCCGACAACTTAAGATAGCATTAAGAAGCCCGAACATTACACGGTTTGGGGAAAAATGGAAAGTTTAAACCAGCTAAAATGCGGACTTGGGCATCAACCATGGAAGACTTAGTTGATTTAACCAATGAATAATGTCAACCCCGGATTACAAACCCTGGGCTGTTGATCATTAGGTACTATTATTTCAGTAGCAGATGAATTTACTACTTTTCAGGGAGTCAATTTTTCATCCATGTCATTTTATTCCTCAGACGTTTCACAATATTTGGGTGTGTCTGACAGTATACCTCCCAAATGACAATTTTTTAACCGGGACAATGATGATTAAGCAATGGATTTGTTAGGGGTACACTATTTTCACAAATCCAGTTGGGTGTGGAAAACTTGCGACCAAAAATTGCACTTCCTTTAAAATTGGGAAAGCCAGAAAGATGAATACCCTTCTGTGTCATCATAGGTGGCTAGTTGGGAAATCATCGAACTGAATGGACTGCTTCTAGCTGGGAAATGGGAAAATCATGGAAAATCGATAAATGGAGGTTTTAGTAGGAACATCATGTAAAAAAAACATGGGAAAATCATAGGAACATCCCTAAACGAAATGAGGCTTTAGTTCGCAAAATCATCCAACCATAGGGTTGTTTTCCGTTGGGGTGTGAAGTTGATGACCAGACTTTTGCTGAACTTGGGGATGTTCCAGTGCTATCTTTGAATACCAGAGGGTCGAAACAACGACGCTTAAACCGCTGTACACAGATTCTAGCATGACGGAAGGGAGGGAAAACCATCAAATTCGCTGGTGAAACAGCCCTACCGCATTCCACCTGAGACCACCTGATACAGTGGATGGAAGAAATCCTGCACCGCCTTGGTTGAAACCCTAAAAATCATTAAAATGGGATGTTTACCACCTATCAACTGGTGCAGGATTTCGCAACCATCCGCAGTATCAACCCAGATTTTTAGCTGAACAGGGCGCTGAACTTTCGGTTCAGATATTGGATGCTCCGATGGTTGCTCTTCCACATGCCGCCGACCAATAGCACCACCTAAACTTGGTATATCTGGGGAAAATATGGGAAAATACTGGAAGGGTTGCCGAAAACGTATATAACCAGGGGACAGGGGAATTTATGAAATGATATGTTAAAATATATTTAAAAAGTTTAACACAGCGTATTGCTGCAAATTTGTTTCAACAAAATCTTCCAGACCGCCAAGCAGGCAGGTCGACGGTCACACGAAACCCTGCGTTTTGTTGACATGCGATGTTTCCCACTGAAAACAACAATAAAGTACCCCAACAACCTCGGAACAAATGAGTAAACCAAACTAAATGAAGTACTCAAACCTTTGACTTGTCTTTTCAAATGATTTTGTTCATTACTATATTTTGAGCGATCGTGTGTTTTGCCGGCCCCCAAAAATGAATGTATTTTCATGTTTTTCTTACATTTACTGTGTCCCAAGAAACGCACAAATGGAATTGTCCAGAAATAGGTCCACAACTGAACGAAACACATTGAAATGACCAATCTGGGGACCCGCCAAAAATTCAAGAGAAAAGTGAGTTTCACTTCAAGTTCAAACCAGTTCAGATGAGACTCATTTCAAAGCAAAGTCTAAGTGGTTTCAAGGCAGCTAAGTACAAATTCAGGTCCAACTACGTAAAGTCACCTGTAAGTCAAATATATAAGTCAGATCGATTCAGAATCAGATCCAATTCAGAATCAAGTCTAACTGTGAAAAAAAAACATGTCCATTCCCAAATCCCAAACAAATTTCTATCACACATTTCTCTACACAAAAAACATCCAACAACTATGGGGTGAACAGTCAGCCAGGGTCTGGACTTGGTGCGGCTTGTTAAACACACGCCAACAGTTTCTTGGTCAATCTTTGATAGTCCACCAAAAAAATCTTTTACTGGCTATGATGATTTTCCATTTATAGCAAAAAACTAAAGAAACAAGGATATTCCTTAACCCTCACATGGTTCACTCCTCTGCATTTTTTCTCTCCACCGAAAAACTGCTTTGGGACAGGAACCGGCTACGCCCTGCTAACATGTCCTCCTGTAAATCGGACCCATGCGATGACAGTTCAACAGAGAAGACATGGGTAAGCAACTCATAAGGGAAAGGGTGCCCCAACACTCCCCTCCCGCTGAAAGGACTGCTGGTGTGGTGTTCCCTTATTCTTCCCCCCCGCCGAAGGGTGCGCCAAACCACTTCGATGGGTCAATGGACGGCGAAGTAAGGACGCTTAAATTTGTTGGTTCAATTAGATCGAATTCAAAGCGGGAGGGTCCATCTGACAGGTTACTTTTGGATTCGGCTCTGTCGATGTAGATGGACTATCTTAACTGAGCCTCCGTCAACCAGAATGTCCCCACAATACTGCTGTTATCTGATTTTGGCGAGTGGCCTTTTCGTCAAATCTGCTGCAGCGCTGTCGTTATCTATCCGGATTGGTCTGTCACGGAGACTCCCGAGTGAAAAGACTAAATGGGATATCTTTGCGAACTCTTAAGACTGAGTATAACGTGAAGAAAGTTTTGGCATTCACACAAAAGATGCAGGTCAGCCGACCGACAAGCGCGTCAAGATTTTGGTTTCCCAGATTCGAGAAATGATGCCAAAAGAATGTGAGACCATATGGGTTGACACAAGACAGATGCAGCTGCATCCGGCATCATGGCATGCGCAGGGACGCCGGCAAGCCGTGTGTCACACAGGCAGACAATATGGAGACTCCTGCCTACGGGCCATGTGTTTTGCCCAAAGAAGCTGTATGACAAGGAAACACTGTTGAAAGTTCATGCTTCAGAGAATGAGCAACAGTGTTGACGGAAACATGGAAACATGCCGGTCACCCAGCGGACGTGCTCACGAAGTTGGGATGCAAACGTGAACTGATCTTGCAAGCGCTTTCCAGTGCCTTTGGAAAAGAAAGCCGCAATAGACAGAATAGAAAGCAGGCATTCAACTTTCACCTGAGGACGGGTGAAAATCATGCATCCTCAGATTGCCTCCTGTTGCTCCAGGTTCACTCGAATGCCAAGCACGAGGGCGCCCTTACGACCTGAGGAAAAGACCTTCGCAGCTGCCACACTGTTGTGCAGCTTTTGAATAAATTTCTCTCCTGCCAGTCAGGGGCATTTGGTGTAGTGGTATCACACCCGCTTAGCATGCGGGAGGCCCTGGGTTCAATCCCAAGACTGTCCATTGTCTTGCCATCTGTTGTGTGTATAGATTTTGGTGGTAACACGAGTTCTGGCAGTCTGTGGAATGTCAGTCTCACAATTTATTGATAAAAACCCCAAGTCTTTCCAGCTGGACTTGTGCGCGCAGGTTCTTGCATGCTGAGATTACACGGATTTCTGTTTGGGTTGGTGAAAACCCTGGTGTCTTTCCATGTAGGGCAACGTGGTCATTTCATGAGGTGTGCACTTCAGTTCTCTATTGCTCAATCACCAAGAAAGGTGAGCTTGCAATTCATCATCAGTGCAACAGCTGTATAATGAATTGTTGCAGTCTAAGGTTATTCAAAGACACTATATATTTGTCGACTGTACTTGCACAGGATCACTTCTACAGTGATACCTCTGCATACACACCAGTCAACAGAACACCAATCATCCATTGATGATGTAGATTGCTCTTGCCAGAAGAGGAATTTGCTTTACAAGCTTGATGAAAGTTTCTGTGCAAGACATTCTGAAATGGATGACTACAACCTCATGTGTAACCTCATGTGTACCCATACATCCACTCATACATGTTGGTACTTCAAGTCAGCAGCTGCAAAAAAGGTGCAGTTCCTGCCTTACACCCTTAGCAACGGTGTTGGATACGCTAAGCACACGAAGCAACCCGGTTGTGCCTTACAACCTTAGCAACGGTGTTGGATACACTACGTACACGAAGCAACCCGGTTGTGACTCAACAAAAATGAATACAAATGCCGCTTTCCACACCAGGCAGCAAAAGGGTAGGTGCGTAAATTCCGCCAACCGGGACTCGAACGCGGGTCGCTCGGGTGAGGGCCGAGTATCCTAACCAGCTAGCGGATTCTGGCAGTAGCTAGCATCAGAAAGTTAGCAGAACTTCAGCCTGAACCAGCTGCAAGCCTCCCATGCTTGCGCCCCGGCTTCTAGCAACGGTGTTCTCAAATTGCCCACTGGTGAAGCCCAAACCTACCTGAATCTCGAGATACTTAACTGCAAGACTGGCACTCGAGCAGCAACCTAAATTACTCTGAGCCTGGCTCTCCCTTTCCGGACTGCAGAGGGGGGCAAAAAATGGCACGAGGCACCCCGAAAAAACGGGTCATTCGAGTGTTGTGCCCAGCTTCCTTGAAAAGGGAAAAGCTGTAGGCGTGTCAAAAAAATCCAGCACACCTGGCAAGAACAAAAAACTTACCCAGCGAAGGTGGCAGAATAATGTTTCGAAGAAACGGAAAAAAAAAGGACCCATAGGGTGGGAAAAAACAATCCCGCTGCGCGCAAGCATTTTTTATGCCGTCAGCCTAAGGGACAAATGGCAAAAACCAAATCTGCTTTGTCATGTCACCACACATGTGCCACGCCTGCCACGTTCCACTAGGCGGCGCTCCTTGCACATGATCACTGACTCCAAGTAGCCGAGGAAATCCACATTGAAATGTGGTGCTCCCAACCTTGAGGGTGCCTTGGCGGCGTAGTCGTCGGAGAGCCCTGGCCCAACGTCTGCACTGGATCTTTGGAGTTTGGAAGCTGAATAGGCCTGAGAAATACTCCAAACTGTAAAGGAAGGACTGCCTCGTTCTGTATCCCACCCTGGAAAAGATGAGGTTTTCCACGGAGCGTCCCACACTGTCCGGTGAGATGCCTCCTCACTGGATTCTGATTTGTTCTCAGGTTCACCTATATAAGAAGTCCAAGAACCTTCTCATCAGGTTGGCATCATGCCTGATCCCGGTGTCAGATGACCTTCGGTCTGTCAGCTGTCGGAAGCGCCTCTCATCAATAAGTCCATCTTAACTCCCAGGATGACGAAGTCCTCAAAGAGAGTTGCAGGACTCGCTGATCATAAGTCCTGTGCTTGCCTGCGGTTCTTAAATCCTTCCTCATGGGGGCCCGCAATCTTCATAGTTTACTAACCTTGGGAGGAGTTCGAACTTCCTCCTTTGGCTCTTCAGCTCTTTTTCTGAAGGTGGGTTTGGTTTCTTCTAACGGGACTTCAGAAAGTATCCGGGGCTCTCCGGAGCATCGAGTTCTTTCTCAGGTGGACCGACTTTCTTGCTGAAAGTAATGCCCTCGAAGCTGCGCTTTCTTCCTGGGGTATATAGAGCTCCTAGGCGAGGACACCTTTCCTTTTTCAAAACTCGGACCGCCGCCAAATGCTCGTGAGCTGATAGGAGATCTCCTCTGCCGGGGCCCCCGCTTCTATCCTCTCTAGCTGCCCAGACCCCTGCAGCGAATGATCCTTCCGTCCTCCCACGTCTAGATAGAGAAAGCTCAGACCTTGGAGTACTAGTAGATCTCCTCTTCTTTTCCCTGGTGAACTCCTCGGCCTTTCTCGAGGGTTGAGAGTAGAAGGTGGCGGGCCTATTGTCACCCGGCCGGCTCCCTCTAGGATAATCTCTAGAGGGGTCCCATCTGCTGTAGCCTGATGTCCAGTTAAGGCTTATACATAATCTCCCCCCGGTGACAAAAATCTCCGGGGGAGTGTGGTGGCCAGACTTCAGGCTTGAGTCCAAAATGGCCACAACCATTCACGGGTCTATGAACATCCATTTTAGTACTGACGCACAAGTCATGTATCAATAAAAGATTAAACTACCCATCCAAGGTTGGAGATGGTTGATTCTGGTGCTTCAAGCGAGGATGCAGCAAATTGAAAGTTTTCAACGAAAACGTTCAGTGATCAAACCTGCAAATCACCAACCTTTCATAACCTTTCTGCGAGCCACGACTGTAATGGTGCATGCCGCCCACAACCTTTTCTCAATTTTGCTTATGCCGCTATCATACTCCTTAGTAGGAAAGGCACTGTCCTTGGGTTTTGGGAACCATGAGGGGCTGCAACGTTGAAATTGAAGGAGTTGAAAGGTACAGTCCCAATCACTTCCTCGTTATCCTCAGTTCTGGGCATTTCCACTTCTGTTTATATCTGCTATGTGCTCAAAATTGAATATGTATATGTGTATATATGTGTATATATGTAAATGTAAATGTATATATGTACATGTACATGTGCATGTATGCATGTATGCATGTATGCATGTATGCATGTATGCATGCATGATGCAATGTATGCAATGTATGCAATGTAGGTAATGTAGGTATGTATGTATGTATGTATGTATGTATGCATGTATGCATGTATGCATGTATGCATGTATGCATGTATGCATGTATGCATGTATGCATGTATGGATGTATGGATGTAATGTATGTAATGTATGTAATGTATGTAATGTATGTAATGTATGTAATGTATGTAATGTATGTAATGTGTGTATTGTATGTAATGTATGTAATGTATGTAATGTGTGTAATGTATGTAATGTAAGTAATGTATGTATGTATGTATGTATGTATGTATGTATGTATGTGTGTATGTGTGTGTATGTATGTATGTATGTATGTATGTATGTATGTATGTATGTATGTATGTATGTATGCATGTATGTATGTATGCATGCATGCATGTATGTATGTGTGTATGTGTAGTATGTGTATGTGTGTATGTGTATGTGTGTATGTGTGTGTATGTGTGTATGTGTGTATGTATGTATGTATGTATGTATGTATGTGTGTATGTATGTATGTATGTATGTATGTATGTATGTATGTATGTAATGTATGTATGTAATGTAATGTAATTTAATGTAATGTAATGTAATGTATGTATACATATATATATATGTATGTATGTATGTATGTATGTATGTATTTACGTGGTTTTGGAATGATTTGGAAGTCAGCAAGTCCAAGAAAGGGTAGCAACTGCAACCCGCACGCTGAATACTGTGGATGGAAGAAATACTGCACCGGTTGATACGTGGTTTATCGAATTATTTCTGGCGTTTCAACCATCCAAGGTGGTGCAGGATTTCTTCAATCCACAGTATGACCAAAATTGCAGCTTGATGTCATTCACCTAAGAATAGGATTACCAGCTCATGGATGATGACAGGATATAGTACAAGCCCCAACAACAAGCTACACTAATTAAATGTACCAGATGTAAGATACTGGAGATCAATTATACTATTTTAATCCAATTATTGATTATTCAACCCTTGATATGTTGGATGGTACAGCATAGTGAAACCATGTAAAACCCCAAACCATCCCAAACCAATCATCAACCAACAGAGGTTTAGTACTGCTCAGTGGTCTTTCGCATAGCTACCATCGACTAGTCATTGGTTGGTGCGTAACGATCCGATGACAATTGTGTGTTTCGTCGCGTGATCTAAAGTCTACGAGCAAGTGATGCCTTTACTTTACCGCAGTGCTGTAAATTGTCATCCTAAACAAATAGTACTGACAACACTTTCTGAAATGGCTCAGACACCAAACAGGACTTATACAAGTGGTCATGTTTTTTTCGGAGCACATTTTTCATCGTGAGCTGCGCCCCTTGAAAAATATAAGCCGGCCAGTGGGGGTCAATTCATCCATGGTAGAACCCAAATCGTAGACTTGTCATGTTTGGGATTAGCCTCAATGTCAGGGCAATTTCCTTCAATTTGTTTCATTGTGGAAACCGTGGCCGGTTACAAAAAAAAATGAAATGCTGATTTTCCACAGGGAACTGCAGGTGATTAACAGAGAACTTGTCCCCCAAAAAGTGCGCAACCTCTATATTGTGTTGGTTGTTTCGTCGAGAGGGGCCCCAAATTCAAAACATATTCCCTATAGATTCCCCGAGTAGTGGATTTCCGATTGGGAAAGTTAAACAAAATGCAGCCCACGAACCCGAATGCTCACACGTATGATAATGGTACAGATGTCGGAAGACATGGAAATGCAATCACGCAGGGCACTTTTCTGAAACATTTTATTTAAACAGTCTTGTACGTTTGGAGTGTAAAGTGTAAAGTGTGAAGTGTGAAGTGTAGAGCGTAAAGTGTGAAGTGTGGAGTGTGGAGTGTGGAGCGTAAAGTGTAAAGTGTAAAGTGTGGAGTGTAAAGTGCAGACTGTGGAGTGTAAAGTGTGGAGTGTGGAGTCTAGAGTGTCGAGTGCGGAGTGTAGTGTGCATAGTGTGGAGTGTAAAGAGTAAGGCGTATAGAGTGTGGAGTGTAAAGTGCGGAGTGTGAAGCGTAAAGTGTAGAGTGCAAAGTGTCGAGTGTAGAGCGTGGAGTGTAAAGTGTAAAGTGTGGAGTGTAAAGTGTGGAGTGTGGAGTGTAGAGGTGTGGAGTGTAGAGTGTAAAGTGTAGAGTGTAAAGTGTGGAGTGCGGAGTGTAAAGTGTAGAGTGTGGAGTGTGGAGTGTAAAGTGTAAAGTGCGGAGTGTAAAGTGTAAAGTGTAAAGTATAAAGTGCAAAGTGTAGGGTGTACAGTGTAAAGTGCGGAGTGTAAAGTGTAAAGTATAAAGTGTGGACTGTAGAGAGTGAAGTGTAAAGTGTGGAGGGTAAAGTGTGGAGTGTAAAGTGTAGAGTGTGGAGTGTGAAGTGTAAAGTGTGGACTGTAAAGTGTAAATATCGAGTGTCAAGTGTCAATTGTTAAGTATTGACGGTGGGGTGTAAAGTGCAGAGTGTAAAGTGTAGAGTGTGGAGTGTAAAGTGTGGAGTGTAGAGTGTAGAGCGCGGAGTGAGGAGTGCAATGTGTAGAGTGTAAAGTGTGGAGTGTAAAGTGTGGAGTTTAAAGTGTGGAGTTTAAAGTGTGGAGTGTAAAGTGTAAAGTGTAGAATGTGGAGTGTAAAGTGTAAAGTGTGGAATGTAATGCGCGGAGTGTGAAGTGTAAAGGGGTGAGTGTGGAGTGTGGAGTCTATATGGAGTGTAGGGCGACACGACTGAAATGCTGCGCCTGCCACGCAAAATGACGACAGAGATCTCCAAAATGCTGCCCCTGCCACGAAAACTGCAACTCATCTTGTGAAAACGATGCAAAAGAGCATTGCACCTGCCACACAACGACTTTCGACACTTGGAATGTCACAAAGTGCCGCGCCTGCCTTGCAAAACGACATGACAACCTGCTTGGAAACCTTCGAAAAGGATATGTTTTGCAGCTTCCCCCATAGACACGGCGACGCCACAGGAAAACCAAAGACTCGAGACGAGACACGTGGGAGCATCAAAACAAGCATTTCGTGCGAGACTTCCTCCAATTTTGACACTTTTGTAGCTTCAAAATCGATGTTTTCCTACTAGTTTTCCTTTGAACCTGAAAATTTGCAACCCCAAAATCGATGTTTCGTGCGCGGCTTCCGTCAATAATGCCACGCCTGCCACGGATGCAGCCCCGACATGCGGTTCGCAAAAAAAACACGCAACACGACACGTCTAAAGTGCTGCGCTTGCCACGCAAAATGACGATGCGGAGACGTCCAAAGTGCTGCACCTGCCACGAAAACTGCAACTCATCTAACGTCGCAAAAGTATTGCGCATGCCACACAAAATGACTTTCGACACGTTACAAAACACGTCTGAATGTCACGAAGTGCCACGCCTGCCACGCGAAACGAAGCAACACCACATGTGAAACCTCCAAAAGTGACCCCTTTTGCAGAACTTACTATAGGCACGGCCATACGGGGCTCGCACGGACGGTTGCGGACGGTTGCGAACGGTTGCGAACGGTTGCGGACGGTTGCGGACGGTTGCGAGCGGTTGCGGACGGTTGGGCAACGTCGAGCGAACACACCCTCAACCCCCAGAATTGCAGAGTGAAACGGGAACCCTTGCTACGCATTCGAGAAAAAACACCTTAAACAAACCGGCGGGCAAATGTAAGTGCATGCTACCAAATCCAGCAGTTCGTGATATTGAATTGTCAGCGGGTTTGCCCAAAATAGGGGAATATAAAACCCAATGCTTTATCATCAATTTCCGTCTTGTAAGTGCAAATGTGCGAGTAAATCTTTCATTTCTGGGCAACTGCAAATATCATATTGTCAGTTCTATGTTCTAATTTTGATCAAGTGTATCCCATGTAAACCAGTAAATATGCTTGCAATCCCGATGTTCCCTACTTGATGTCATCCCACGAATCGGACCCGTGGCTTGTTTCATCCATAACCGCCAAACCCGCCTTAACCCATTATTCCATCCTTTTTTAAGTGGCATTCCATGAATCTAACGGTACCCACTTACGATCTTCCGGCCCGCACCCCTAACCGCCGCTTTTCGTCTCCCGAGGGTCAGGCACATCTGCTCGGAATAAATATGACACAATGTTGCCAGCGAGTGTAGCAAACACCTCATGGGCCGTTGAAAGTTTGAGGCCCTTCAGCCTCCAACGATCAGCGCGCGAGGCCCATGCGAAAACCATTCGCCGGTGGAACGCTCGCTTGAAAACCCATATATAATGAATGAACCACTTATTTCGGGATGGGAATCTGAAATTCAACCCATAGACAAGTCAAAACACCAACTTTGGTGGGTGACCCGGGAGCAAACCTGGTGCGATTTGAACCGCAAGAACCATTTTAGTTACCCTGTTGTATTCAGATATAGCAATGTAAAATCATCCATTTACAAATAATTTTCCCGTTTATGCACAACTATACATATATATAGAGAGGATTTCCCAATCAGCCATGTTTCATCACCGGATGGTTAAAGGAATGGATTCTCCCTCGGGCATCCTCGAGCGACTTGACAAGCAAGGAAATGATTTCATGGATGGATGGCAAATGTTTCCGACCAGTAAAATACACGCCAACATACGCCAATTTTGTTTTCTCTCCTTTTAAGAAATGTGCGACCCTGGGTTCACTGGTGTTATGGGGTTGTCTCCAAAAAGGGACAGCAAAATCCCAGAAAGGCCATTGGGTGATGATATTAGGTGCATTCTCCATTTTGAGAAGAAGCGACATGGAGTTGGATACTATATATATATATATATATACACGTTCATTTTGTTTCCCATGCAGAAATCAATGTTCATAGTCTCCGTTATCAACGTTCGCCAAGAAGCGTGTGGCGCCACGTCCTTCTCCAGAAGTACCTGCAACGGCTGACATATCATTGCCTGTCAAATGCATATTGCAAAGACCTGTAAATGGATATACACCAAGTATATGCGTTCATACACACCACATGTCTGTATGTTGTTTATTAATATCTATCTCACGTGTATATACATATATTCATATATACATATATACATATATATACCCATGTATATACATATATATACATATATACATATAAAAAAGTTTACATAAATACATATATACATATATATATGTGTATATATATATATGTATATATATGTATATATATATATATGTAATTTTACATGTATGTATGTTTCAGACTGGGTAGCGTTTGTATACACAATGTGTATATCTAAAATAAAGAGTCATATTTATACAATCGATACAATCTGCATAATAAGCCCCCAAGAAAACAACAGCAACAACTGCATGAACAAGTCAACAAATGTTTGGCGGAAAAATGCTTGAGAGTTGCTTGAGATAAACCGAGATAACCTTTGATTGACCATCTGTCGGGAACAAAAACTTTGCTTGGACACCTGTGCCTAAACACCTTGCTTGCAAATCTCTTCCTGGAAGCTTTGCTTGGGAACCCTTGCTTGGTAAGCTCGCTTGGGAACCTGTTCTTGGAAACCTGTCCTTGGAAACCTATTCCGGCGAACCTTGCTTGGAAACCTGCTCTTGGAAACCTGTTCTTGGGAACCTTTGGGAATCTTTGGGACCTTGGGAAACCTTTTCTTGGGAACTTGTTGGGAATCTTTGGGAATCTTTGAGAATCTTTAGTATCTTTGGGAATCTTTGGGAATCCTGGGAACCTTGCTTGCGAACCTTGCTTGGGAACCTCTTCCTGGGAACCTTGGGAGCCTCGGGTGGGAACCACGCTCGGGAACCTTGCTTGGGAACCTTTGAGAATCTCTTCCTGGGAACCTTTGGGAACCTTGCTTGGGAACCTCTTCCTGGGAACCTTTGCGAACCTTGCTTGGGAATCTTGCTTGGGAATCTTGCTCGGGAACCTTGCTTGGGAACCTTGCTTGGGAACGTCTTCCTTGGAACCCTTGGGAACCTTGCTTGGGATGGCCCCGGTTTTGCGCCAGGGAATTTTTCCCCGTCCGCGTTTTTTTTTCGCCGGCGATGCCGCATCAATTCCCTCGCCATTTGCAGCATGTTAAACCTCGAAGCTGCCATTTCGACAGTATTTGCAACAGTTGGAACCACTTCTACGGTAATTGCAGCATTTTTGGAGCTAGGAGCTGATGGTAAAAGTCAAGCATTTTGGAGCTAGAAACTCATTTCTGCCGAATCAAAGTGGTTCTTGTGACATGTCGTGCATTTTGACTGTGCAGGCTCGCACAAAGTATGGGTCCCGGTCTTGGGATCGGTCCTCCTCCTCAACATCATCCTCCTCCTCCTCCATCATTATTCTCAACAGCATTATCTTCCTCCCCCTTGACCTCATCATTCTCAACATCATCAACCTCCGCCTCATCTTCTGGAACATCATCATCCTCCACCTCATCTTCGGCAACATTATCGCCCTTTTCATCATCCTCCTCAACATCATCATCTTCCTCCTTCTCAACATCATCATCCTCCACCTTACCATCCTCCACTTCATCTTCCGCACTATCATCCTCATTCTCATCCTCCTCAACATCATCACCCTCAACATCATCATCCTCCACCTCATCATCCTTAACATCATCATCCTGCACCTCATCATCCTTAAAACCATAGTCCTGCATCTCATCGTCCGCAACATTATCATCCTCATCACCGTCGCCATCGTCATTATCATCATCATCATCATCATCTTCATCATCATCATCATCATGCATCATCATCATCATCATCGTCATCATCATCATCACCATCATCATCATCATCATCGTCATCATCATCATCATCACCATCAACACTATCATACATTATCCTCCTACACCCCCGCACTGTTTGGGGCCTCTTGCCGGGATAATTTGATTCTGGGTTTTGGGCTCGTCGTCTGGGAAATACAATTCACTGACCCTGCGAAGGCATGTGAGAATGTGAAAAGATACTAGTCGAACACCCTTGCAACAATCTGGGCAAACCATGGGTTCTTGGAGAAAACATGAGAAGACGTGTTTAAATGAGCCATGAAAAATACCCCAATCCCATCCCATGGTGGGATAAGAGTATACCTATACTGTTAGTATACTTGGTGGTCCACCCCACAAATCCCAACTGGCTACTAAGTGGGGTAATGACCCACTTATTTTGCCAGCCAGTTACTAAGCCTAATGATTCTCCAAGGATTACAAAAAGACCAAGCGAGCCTGAATCTGAAAATAAAGAGCTTGAAACCAGTTGATAAGAGATCGATCATACCAAGCCGCCAATTTCACCCTTCGGATTGAAATTGTTGAGAAGGGTAGCGCCCCCACAGTTTTTAGCCCCAGACTGAGTCGGACGTCTGCTACTGCTAGTTGCACAAAATTCTTGGGGGTGCGGTTGGGGTACTAATTCTTGCGTATAACCATGGCATGTTGACTCCCACAAGTTGGAATATCGCCCCAATAACTATGCTTATGTATTCAGTGCACCCCAAGTGCAACCCCAAGCTACCCATCATTCGGGCCGAGAAACCAGAGCAGCAAAAATTTGGAACATGTGCTCCATAAGCATCAAAAGCACCCATTCACCAAATCCTTGAGAAAATGAAAGCTGACTCTCAACCTACCCTGAGCCTGGCAATGGGCAAATACTTCGGGCTGCAGGTCAGGGCTTGCATGTTTGGATAAAAAAAAATCCACAAAGATGGGATATAATGCCGGAAAACTGAAGACTAAGGTTATATAAAACATTTTGGAACGGGAACGGCGCCCCCAAGTTTGGACATGTGTTAAATTACCCATGTTGACTTTGCACAAACTGATTGATTATCCTACTGGAAGCAGGACTTTCAAAAGTGCCAAGTTAGGAGTATTAGAGGCTAATGGCTTGGTACGGGCTGGCTTAAGGGACAAACGTGAAATTGTCAGATCGAAAAAATGTATGCAAACCAAAGATATCCAAATCGTTTTTCTTTCGGCGAGGTGAGGCACCGCTTCTGACCCATGCCATGCCATGCCATGCCATGACATGCCATGACTGTTTGAGAGGCCTGTTTCAACGTGGGGGTATCACATCCGAACACCCCCAAAAGAAAACGTGTAACAGGTGCTGCCAAGTGCACAGGTTAGAGGTGGAGATGGAACCAGCATTTTAATGGATCAAAACGGGGATACAACCACCAAACATTATTGTCTTTAAAACGTCAAGTATCCATAAAAGGAACTTTACATGGAACATGAGCAACTGACCAACAAAGAAGGGTTCCAGCCACCAACAAAGAGCGCAAAATTCATCATCACCGACCCAAGGAGAGATTTAATTTGTATTCCAAAACTATGGGAATAGAAAAGGATAGAACCAGAAAGAACATGTTTTCTTAGTAGCTAACGGCCAGCTCTATCTTAAAACCCAAGTGATTGATCCTGATCGACCTTGCCAAGATGCCAACGCACCAAAATGCAGAAACGATGAACGAGGAGATCGAATTTACAATCAAACCTCAGATCATTTGGGATCTGTTCATTCGAATCACCCGGTGCCATCAGATGTGGTTGGAAAATCCCCGTGGCCGAAATGGCTGCTTAGCGAAATGGAGGGTTGCTCGGAAAATCATCGAACTTAAAGGTCGATCTTCATACTGTCCAAGACATTTTCGACCTGGCCGCCCAGGCCCTCAACTACGGGGAGCGGTCCATTTCCGGTGAAGGCACCCCATTGAAAGGCGCCACAGAGATGGGTCTCAACATGATTCATCACCAAATATACCACGTCGATAATTTCTGTACATCAAATATTATATATATATATGTGTATACATGATTTATGTACTATATAATACATCCCGGCGGGTGGGAAACCGCTCCAGCGGTTGAGCACGTCTTGAAAAATAATCTCTTGGCGGTGTGGCGCCGTACGAATTTTTGGATCAACTTTACCCAAAAATAAATGTTGAGCAAAATCAAATCATTTTGAAGGAATGACCTGGTATTTACAAGGTTTTGTGGCCCTGGGGTTATGATCGCTTTTTACTATAGGCGTCTCACTATTCCAAGCGTTTGCTTAGAGCGTGACCGGTGAGACTCATGAAGCCCTTGCAATCCATCGCCACTGCCAAATTCGAATTCTTTGAAGCAACTGAGGATTAACAGCTCCACTTTTGCGTGTGCTTCAAGAAGCTGACACTGCACCTTTGGAAATTTTCCACATACCATCGATGCCACCGGTGTGCACAAGAAATGTACCCCATGCCTTCATCCTTTTTATGCAAAAGATTCCCTTACTATGATTCCAAGCTTCATAACCTAAATTATTCTCGGAGGAGAGTGCCGGGTAACATGGGGCACCGTCTGTCACCAAGATGCTTTTGCGGCAATACATCTCAAAGCACGAGTGGCACGAACACGCGGCGCGCTCTCAGGAGGAGGCTTTCCAGACTTGGAAGCTGCTGCCACTCCCAAATCACGTCGCCGCAGCGTAGCATCACGTGTGTGCGCAAGGCACATGAACGTTATTACTTCACCCCACCCAAACCCAATAATGAAAAAGTAGCACGACTACACGCGCGGAAATTTCCACCCGCTACTCATCACTACTCATTGAAATGGCGCCGAGGAGTTCCGAGGAGTGGCATTTTAGCTGCGCAACTTGGAGCTGCCCGGAATGCAGATCCATGATGATCATGATGATCCATGGTCTATGGGTCTAGGGTATCCCGCGGATCCCCTGAAAAATCTATGAAAATCATATCCTATCCCATCTTCAACTCCAAGGTGTCTGGCTCCAAAAGGTCGCTTGACAAAACTTGACGTGGCTTGCCCAGACTCCAAAATTGAGGATGCTGCCGCAAGTCGCAGCATGATTAGAGATTACAGAAAAGAATGCACACCTTCTTTTCACGTTTGAGTCTTGTAGGGCTTTGGGTTTTATGGCTTCAGGGTTTGGGACTTTAGTTTCAGATTTTAGGGTGTCAGGGTTCAGGGTTTGAGGTTCGCCATTTCAGACCGCACAACAACACTGGCGCCAAAGTGTTTGAGCCAAAGGTTATTGTTCGAACACCATTATATAAAACATAATCTTACAAGCTATAAAACTTATAACTTATTCTTATATAATATTGCTATAAAGACCGTACATTATATAACTCTCCAAGCAAACTATAGGGTCTCAAACTATGGGCTCGTGCCGTGAAACCTTGGATATTCCAGACAGCTGAAGCAGCTAGAAACTGACCTCAGAAACCAACCATTCAGCAATCCCATTTCCGATCTACAAGGTGGTGCCCCAGTGAGCTAAATTGCTAAGTTGGCGCGTTCAGAACTCCAATTTTACGATGGTTTATGGTAGATATATCGAACTACTTTGCTATATGGTTTGTAAACCAACAAACATAACTGGGGGATACTGGGGGGCACCACCTTGAAGGCTATCTGAAATCGGCGACCAAGCGACCCGCTCGGAGTAAATAATCGCTAAATTTGCACGGCCCAAGCAAATACGGTATCATATTGCAGCTAAAATATCCTCAGTTCTACATTGCAGAATGCTCACTGGAAAGCGGCGCTAATATTTCTACAGGCGTCTCCCAAAGGATACAAAGGAAATCAAAGGAACACCTCTGCTGCTTGAGTTTGATTTACTAATCTATCCGCTTCGGGACCCCAAATGTCTACATAAAAAGTCAATATTAAAGCATATCAAAACATGTTAAAACAATGTCTGATAACATCTGGTGGGAACTAGCTAGAAAGCCGGGTGTTAACGTTCTGCAGCACTCCCCCTTTCAATGAAATCAATCAATCAAAAATCACCTGATAAAAAAATGAACAAAACAAAAACAATTGAGGTAGGACTCGCCCATTTTCTACAGGAAAACGATCAGACTTTGCTGCATGCTTCACACTTAACGCAATCACCCCTGTTCATGACCCCATCAAAACCCCTCCCAGATGCGCCACAAACGCTTGCATAGTCTCAAGATGTTCATTGGGCCCGCAGTTCCCGGGTCAAATTGCGCTTTTGACCATTACCAAGCAGTTATCTGCAATCAGTGGCATTGGTGAATACATCATGTAAATACGTGTATATATATATATTAATATATTTAAATATATATATATATACATATGATATACGTTGCCTACCTTACGAAAATACTACAATCGTTAACCTTAAGCTAAACTGCCATTCAGCTCTCCATAGACTCCATAGCAGCTAACCCGTATATAAAAATTCAAAAACATATCTTTGAAACCAAAAAACACAATGCCTTCTTGGCCCCCCCATGTTTTTAATATATATATATGTATGTATGTACATACGGGATATTGCGGGATTATGTAGGTTATATAGGATTATGAACCACTTACTAAGTGGGATGCACAGATGCATATCGAAGTTTGGACAGTTGCAAATTGCCAAGTGTCCTACACAGGTTGCACGAAAAGCCCGAGTAATCCAACCAGCTTTGACGCACGGGTATCCCAAGTAGCCACAAACCTCACAGATTTGAGCTGCCAGCGCCCATTTTAAGATGAACTAGGATGAAACAAACCATTGTTCCTGGTGTTGATCAGCTAATGACATGACATGCAAAGGTGTTGTCGTATTGAACCAGCCGGTTGTTGACGTTTATAACTGTGAGCCATCATCATATCAAAATAGTTCTCAAAGTCTCGTTTCATGTGTGTGTGTGTGTCATGGGATGATTCACGGAATTACATTATGCTTTTGGAGAATGCGCATGTGTTTTTAAGTTTTTCTTGGTACACATTTGACGGGGAAACAGAGGGGGAAACAAACTGAAAGATAAATTGGTCCATGATCCATTGGTCTCTGGAAAAATTGGGCCCTATAAAAACAGCATAAGCTTCCG